TTTTTATGAAGCAACATAGATAGACTGAATTATGTAATAATAGAAGAAGATTTACACTTTAAGAGATACAGCTTCCCTCTACGAAAAGAAATGCTATTCGCTGACAACGATTAAAAAAATCAGCTAACGATGTTTAACGTTACAATAAGACGAAAACGTCCTTCAGTCGACAGCCAAAAAAACATTTCGTTACCTAATGGAAGAACTCTGTCAGTCATAAAACCACTTTCCAGTGAATAACCACGCTTTATTGATAATATGTTATCACTCCACGAAGTGTTACAAGTTTCTTTATAAGACAATTTCCTTTATCACTGAGCGTAAGAAGCCGTAATTTTTAAAAAAATGTCATGTCAATACATAAATGTGTACAAAAAATACTGATACTTGCATAAACATAACCTACGTTTAATAAGAACATGAATAAATAAGCGTATGGCAACGGTTAACACACAGGAATTAATACATTAAGCAATTTAATGTAACAGCCGTAAAATTCGATTGATGCCAATAAAATGTGAATATTCTAGACCAGGATTCTGTACAATTAATACGCCCTACTCCTGACTGACTATTTTTAAACAGTAATAAATTGACATGTTCATATGACGCGATTTCCTTACGTCATCAAAATTTAGGCTGTGTACTACTGAGTTTATGCTGACCTTTGCACCAGTGGTACTAACGGCTGTAATTCAGATGCAACCACTTAACCTGCCTCAGAAAAGTAAACCTGTGTAATATTTAGGTACATGATTTCTTACAGACAGATGATGGCTTCCCTAGTGAGGATATCACATCGTGCAAGATTTCGTCAGGAGTGACTGATGGTAAATATAAATTGTTTTAAAAACGGTTATAATTCTTAAGGTTAAAGCACTCGAGCAGTGAAAACAAAATCCTGATCAGACGCACAAAAAGCTGAAAATGTATTCAGGTGCACTGATATTTTTATAATGTATTTTAAATGGCACTCGACTTTGTAGCGAGAACTAAGAACAGGCCAAGTGCTCTTCAAATTTCTATGCATAATGCGCAGTTTAACAACTAGTTTTGATTGTAAATACGGTCTACAGACGGTAAAGATGATAGCAGTGAGGAAATTTTTCCATGTTCTTATTTCAAATGAGATATTTAATAAACTTAATTTTGCTGCAGACGAGGCAAAAGCACTACAGGAGAGTAAAACGGTGCAGGACGAGTCCAATGATTCACACAAGGTAGGTCCTACGTCACATCTGGATCTTTTGGCGAATTTAAAACCCTTTTGTTTGTTCTAAATGATTCATGCGTCATCATTCCTAACTGCTGTACTGGCAGGTTATCTTAGTATCTGTACGATTCTGATAGGAAACATTAGATCCACACCGATCCTTCAACCACTTCCTCATAAGAGTTCGTACGGTGACCCACGGCAGCTGAAGAACGTTTAACAAAGTAATTCACAGCACGTAAGGTGATGGAGATCATAATAACACCGATATAATCTGCCGATGTTTTCTTAATAGTTAGTAGATCGCCTGACAGTGACACGGCCGGAAAGACTGATTTGCAACTAGGAAAGCAGGTCTCAAGATAACTTGCACGTATGGTAGTTTCACTCCAGTAATTTTAAATGGTACATTAATTAATTTAAAACAATATAAAAACTCTTTAGGCAACTAATACTGGAAGATAGCATTTGTGTTTTACGAGACTCGTACAGCTACAGATATGATTTTTATTAAATAAAGCATTTAAAATTGTTAGTAATAATTATAGTATTAACATTTTTGTATGTTGCCACTTGTGGACTTCATAATTTATATTTATTTTGGAACAAAAAAAATTATTACACAATCTCTCCTTCTAATGTTGGTTTCACAGATCTGAGGTAGAAATAGGGAAATGGAGTGATGTAAGGCATTCATTACATGTATTTATGTATGTTTCAGTGCTTCGTCGCCTGTCTTATCACACAATATGGTCTGGTGAGTATTGATCAAATTATATACCCAAGTCGTTTCAGACATTTGTGTAAGAGAACTCAACAAATTACGTGACTTTAAATAGCTTCAATGTCTAAATAAATCGTCTCATAATAGCGTACAGTTACTAAATTTTGTATTAAATAATCCGGTGCAAAATTTGATTTAATCTGTACACGGAAGTTTAATCTCCTTTTCATATCACATATATTAGGTTTATCCCACTTACCAGTGTATATAATCATCACTAAGGGTAAACTAAACAACTGAAGAAAATAAATTATTCTACTTTTTAAATTCCATACTCTTTTCCTCAACATCTCAGAGATATTAAATTTGTTTACGTTATACTGCAATTAATTTCGTAAACACATTTTATTGTCAAGAAATAACATTGCGTTTTACTGTTCTAAAAACGCAATGAGTTACATTAAACTTCCTAAAATAGATAGGGATATATTTAGATGTTCGCTCCATCGCTATCAACGTAATGCCGAGAGGAGTATGTAATCGAACGTGAGGAACAATTTATTAGCAACAGCCATTCTAATACGCGATCGTATAACATCGGAAAAAAATGAAATGAAGTTTACAGTGTATTTTGCAAAATTTGGCTGCTTCAATGCCAAGTGATTTATTTCTTAAAATAAGGCAAGGATAATGATTCAATGTAATACAAATTATTGTTAAGAGATATTAAGACTAAATTGATTGTGTAGTTTTCTAACTACAAGTAGCTTCGTGTATTTTTAGAAACAAATTGTGGCTCGTCTGGTCAATAAATTCCCGGTTTAGTAAATTTCATTACCATATATTTTTCAAAATAGCCTGCAACTAAATAAGTGAGATTCGGGGGATGCTTGTTATTACTTAGTTTAAAAACTATTGTTCCTTTGGCTTTTTTCTCACAACATTAAAAACGTAGAAAAATAATAACTCTCGCTATTGTACTATGAATGCAGTACGTATCCTCACGCCCATTATTTTCCATTTTAATATTATCCTCCAATTGCTTGATGGGTATTTTTGTTAGTGCACAACAGCACTTGTTGAGTCAATAGTCAGAATATAATCGTTTAAAATATAATATTAACTTTGGTATTATCAGTTAAACCAAATTAGTATTATCAAAGGTGTTGTTTAATTTTTCTGATGACTGAGTGGGCACTAATTTACATGTGTATTTGTAATACCTTGTTTTATCAGATGAAAGACGACAAGATGGACGTGGAATTTTTGGTAGCCGTTATGAAAACAGCAAGACCAGAAAATGTCACGACATTTGATGATCAAAAGGAAGCTGAATACAGGAAAAATGTTAATGATTGCAACAAAGAAAGTAAGTGTGAATGAGATTTCATGTTGGTGTACACACATGCGTATCGACCGAAGTGATTATAAATTAATTACAAAACTGTACTTCGAGATTTAATTAGTGTTACTGCTCAGAATATAAATTTCGATTTTCGGGAGGGGGGGGTGTTGAGAGCGAGAAGTTGTTGTCAGTACTGCATGAAGAGTCTACTGCAACCCTATAAATTTCTCAAGATACTATTTTTAACGAAGCTATTTGAAATTAACAGTGTCTACACTGTCACACCAAATATTCGTGAAGCAAAATGAAACTGACCAACACGCCTCAAACACAAAAATGTTAAGCTACAAAAATTAATTAATAATCTATTAATTGTCAAATTATTTTACGTGTATGCCTCAAGGTATAAACTTAAATATGATTACATTAAATTTATTGAATGCTCAAGTTTATTTCCTTCAAACAAATTTATATTATAGGGCTACAAGTAGTGAGAAAGGGTAGTTAAAATTCAAAGGAAAATAATTTCTTCAGTATTCAGCCTTTCCGTTTCCTTCCTTTTATTTTTCATTTCGTTTCTCTGCCTCATTTTGTCCTTCGTACCGCAGTGATTTCCCATCCCTTTCTAAGTACAAAGATGATAACATAGACTGTGTCGTTTTCATCACGCACATCACAAGAAGACTCATGACTTCAGGACTCTATAAGTTCAGCCATAAGTGCGTAGAAGTAAGCATATAGAAAACAGGATTTTATTAAACACTAAACGTCAAAACTTCGTGTGTTACAGCCGGAGAAGGGAAATGTGGTTCCGGTTACAATGTATGGAAGTGCTTTTCCGAGATGTCAGTCAGAATGGCGGTACGTATCAACCGAAGTGATTATAAATTATTTATGTCTTTCTATATTAAAAACTACATCCACACTAACCTCTTTTAAAATAAATGTGAAATCAATATTACTTGTTCAAATGAATCGTAAGTAACTAAGTACACATTAAATGTTTATAACCACAAATAAGTCTTAAACACTCAAAAACTATAGTTTTACCCGTTCTTTCGTATACGTGTGAAATCTGTTCCCTCACATTAAGGGTAGAGCACAGAATACTGGAGGGCGGGGGTGCTTAGAAGAATTATTAGACCAGAGAGGAATTTAGTTTCGGGAGGACTGAGAAAGCTGTATAATGAGATATGTCGTTCCTACGCTACATCAGATATTATTACGACGATCAAATAAATGAGAATGAGATGGGTGGGTCATATAGCGTGCAAAGGGAGAGGAAAAATGAACCGACACCTTGTTAAACACTTGCAAGACTACAAGGTGTCAATACACAGACAACCAACAACGACATTCCCATTGCACTGAGAACCTTAAATCTCATAACGCTTACATTTAACACAAAAGATAAATCATTTTTTACCTCAGAAAAAGGTGTAGGTTCGTTGTCAGCTTCCCGAAAGGTCCGCTTTACCCCCAAGGAAAAAGTAGCCAGTAATTATTTTATAGGAACATGAGTGCTGCCCAGACCCAATCTTCACAGGATGGCGAGAAAAAAATCCCAGCCCGAAATAAAACCAGTTCCACAGGACTAATTCTTTATATTTCAATAACTAGACTTATTTGTTGTCACAGCTGGCTGAAATGGCGGAGAATTCGTAGTAAACGCTGATGTATTTTCATCACTATACCCAAGAGCAGCCCGACTACAAACATTATCACGAACAGAGTATGTAATCACAGAATCTATTTAACAGCTCTATCATGAAATGAATCCCAAAATTTCAGAATTTCAAACAATTTTATTGTAACGTAAATTGTAAAATCGAACAGTGTCATTACTAGGGGCTACCGTAATAGATTTTCATATATAAGTTGGTCTATTTCAATATACTATTTATATCATTAATTGAATAAACTTTAAGAATTTCTGGTGTAAGATGAAAGATGTAAACTTTCACATTAATTATGTTACTTCACGAAATATTATTTGTTTCATACTAAGGTACTGATGTAATGGATATGTGTGTTTCGACAAGAATTAAATAAAGGTTTTTGCAAGTAAGACAGCATGGAACCTGTAATATTTATTTTACGCAAAGTCTGATTATATGCTCATAGTAACAAGTTCAACCATCTAACTTCTGTTACACTCTATCATGACAATGCATAGCTTGCATACTAGCGATATGCGTTTCGATCTGTACCAGATTTTCATCAGTGTTCCATACTAATGTTCGTATGTGTCTCACAAAACGCAACCCAAAAGCACCGACTCTTAGAGGTTTTCTAAGCCCATTCATAAAAGTCATGAGACTATATTAATGCAGGCCACAACCGCTTTTATCTACATTCAAAATACCAACATCAGAATCTTAACATTTTAAATATTATTTTTGTGTAAAACAGAAAATAATAAGACGAAAATCTAGATTAAAAAAGAAAGGAAAGAAATAGCACGCGTCCGTAAAAGGTACACTTTGAAATGTGAACAATAAGACGGAGTTCCTACGTTAATGGAAATTTAATAAAATTTCTCAGTCGAAAATTTAGATCAGTTTCTGTCGTTGAATGGAATAAAATTATTCTCATGTCTTTGTCAACTACATATGAGGTCAAACTACATCTACGTCCTGCCTTTAGAACACGAATCCCACAGGTCAGTGGACACGTCATATAACTGTCATAGGCGCATGACGAACTTCGTTACAGGAAACGTGATGGAATGGCCATGATTCATATCACGATCCAACAACTCCCGAGGTTCTACCCGAAAAACACATCTCTAACGTCCGGTAATCTGACATTTAACACAGTAATGTAAAACTCATAGTCTACACGCAGTCAAGCGGAATTCTACTGATGTTACGCTTTAGAATACGATCTCTTCACATTCTAGTTGTGTGTGCTGTATAGTTTTCATATTTTGACAATATTTTCCTGTCGTAGGAGACTGTACGATGAGATAAGCTAGCGTAACATTTCATTGGATTCTACAAAATAAAATTACGTAAATTGGAAAAGGTTTTACTTATCGACTTTTACATTAAATCAGAACGTGAAGATGTCGCCCAATAAGTTGAACTCTCTTGGTTTATATCTTGTGTGTAAATTAATATTTACGTAAGTTATTTATTGCACTGAGTAAATGTGTTGTGAGCGCACCAATCATTGATCGGAAGTCTAAAATGTGTTTTATTTTACAGAATTCATTACACACGTTTGTCAAAGACGTTAGCAAAGCGGTCCCACTACAGGTACAGCGCGAAGTCGATACAGAAGTTATGTTAAATATTAAGACAGAAAATATGAGACATTCCACTACTGAACTTCATAAGTGTGTCACTTAAATATTCAATCAAGTCTTTATTTTTTTTACCAATATTGTACTGTTACAAATTTTATGTACGTTACCTACGCATTTGTGTAACTCAGTCATGTTAATGAAACTCAGAGTGTGAAATAAAGTTAATGATTAATATTGAACTCACAATTTCTGATAACGTATGTATGTTTGCTACATATTTACACATTCATAACAAACGAGTATTTTAAGGTACAGAGAAGTTACTGAAACTCCACGGATCGTAATCCTTCTTCAGAAAGTAGTAAACAAATCCCTCTTCCCCTCATTTAACCTGGCAATTCATACCCTCAAGCAAATGAATTCAATCACTAATCTATACAATGTAATACAATTTTATTTTGCGATGTTTTTATTTCTATCCAGATTAAGTTAACACAATAACAGCCAGTGTAGAGAATATGTGTTATGAAAAGATTTCGTGTTGTACGGTCACTCTATAACAAGATCAAAATTGCTTTCTATTACATTTGAAATCTCTTCCGTACTTTCTTTTAACATTAAAGCAGTGCCTGTAACTGATGTTGTGCCAATATGAAGAACAATATGTTTCTAATGCAGTCAGCTGGGATTGGGAGAAATAATTTAGAAAATAACATTGACAGTTGATGAAGTTTGGAGGATTATCATTCTCCGTGGTAGAAAAAATACAAAAATATTTGAGAAGCTTCAATCGGGATAACAGGCAGCGTGTCTTGACCACGGGTAGTAAAAAATTAACCCCGGACACGGCTGAGCTAACTCGCAGGCCTGCCATAAATTACGGGCTGCGATATTCATTTAAAAGTTTGGGAGTGACTGTGATGTATTTCGTGACATGAAAGCGAGGTAACTTCATTGTGTTGACTACATGGTACAATTTTCAATGCTGGATTACGACATCCATATCTATGGATCAAACAATAACAAAGGGAATGGAAACCATGTTTTCTCTCGTTACATTTGTTTCAATTTCAGCTAGAGGATTCATAACCTACCAGAAAATTATCATTGCCGATTACTCCATACATAACATGGCTGTAAGAAATTGTATTCTAATATTGGGGATTATTTGCAGCCTTATTTCAAATTCAAAGGTAAGTAATTCAGTTCTGTGTTGTTTCTTCTTTTAACAGTGGATCTCCACACTAAGCAGGTTGCTTGTCACTAGGCTACCTGGTGCATGAGGACTCCAGACATGGAGGGAAAATGTCAATATAACCTATTGAATAATCAATCCAGGTGGCTGACAAGGGGTAGTCCTCCAGCTTGAAGGTTTAAAGGGGAACTAAAAATCACACCTTAAAATAAGTAGGATGTTACCAAATGTTACGCGGGTCTACTCTTGTAAATATGGTAATGAATCTCAAATTTCTATAGATGACGGAAAATTCCTTGACTAGCTAAGAGTACTATTGCTTTTTCAAGAAGGACTTTGTTCCATGAAATTATGCTCTGCGTACACAGAAATTTTCGTCACTGGTGAGATTTAAGTAGTTACTTGGTTTAGAATGAAATATTAAATCCACTATGTTTGGATGAACCTGGCAATGACGTCACTAGGCAAATTTTTTGCATGCCAGTAATATTTTATTGTTTGTAAACATGTTAATCTGCATTAGGTTGCCACTTTGGAGATCCTTGAAACAGTTACTCACTTCGAAACCAAGCATGTAGCTGATCCATACTTCAACGGCTGAATTAAAACTGGAGGTGTTGGAACGCGTTGACACGAAAACAATTTCAATTTACAATTTCTTTCGGTTTTAAATGTCACTGTTATCCCCAGATTTCCTACAATTTGCATATACTATCTTTAGAATAAATGTTGCTCCAAGACTGACTTTTAAAGCATATTATCCGTCAACGTTGACGGGAATGAAACTTTCTTGTGCTGAACAGAAACATAATTTATTGCTGCATGGCCTCGTTCTCATTTCTTTCTACCAGAGTCGTCACCGTCAGAACTTTATTGTAATTTTTCCCGCGTCGCACGAAAGGCGCACTTTTCCAACAAAGGCTGACGAAGAAGAACCATGAAGCAGATAGCTAGACAATTACATTTAAAAACTATTAGACATATTAACAGTAGTAGAATTTTAGCTAACCAGATCATACGATGCCAACACATCATTAAACAGTACGTTATGAAAAATATGGTCTGCGTTAGTGTATTTAATATTAAGGATGGATATATTGGTGAAAGGTTTCTTAATCAACTACAATATATTTTTGATTTAAATAACGTTAGGCTAATTTTCGTTGTAGTTAAGAGAAATTCACCTAATATATCTAAACTAATCAGCACTGATATTTCTAGGGAATTACAGAACAGGATACAGTAGCCTTCAAGAAATGTAAGGAAGAAAACGGAATGACAGGTAAGCAGTATGTAATATATTTCTTTAACTTCGAATAAAATTATTATATTATTAATTAAATTGTTATGGAATAAAAATATGCCAACAAATAATACACGCGTCTTCTCATTGCTTCACCTTATACGTATATAACAAACTATTATAAAGATAATCTGTACCTAAACAGAGACAGGAGAGTGAGTATTTACTCCTGCAGTCAGAATGTCCACAGCAAGAATGCACTGGATCATAAAATAAACACACGCATTTGCTCCTTGCGTTCTCATTCAGAACTGCAAAGAAAACTGCTTAAATGCGCCGCATGTGTAATAAAAGTCAATAATCTTAGGTAGATTTCTACAAAAATCAGACTATAATTTTCATTCTTAAGACGATTTCATAGAATTATCAGCATAATAAAATCCATTTCCTCCGTATAAAGTCTCGAATTGAACCGAGAAACACAACAGAACAAGGTAATTTCAAACACGCAATTAAAATACGTAAATAATTTCATTTTAATAACAAATAGCGGACTGGGACTCTGTAACTTACAGAACGAATAATTTGAGTAAAACCACAAAATATTCACAGAGAAATTTCCTCCATTCATATGTAAAGCCTTTGCATTCTTCAAATAAATAAAATTCTCTTAACCATTTGAACGCATGATATATAGTAATAAAATTATCACAATTAATTTTATTTTCAGCTGCAGATGAAGTTAGTGCAAAGAGTTCTTTGTTAAATGACACGATCACAGATACCCAGAAGGTAAGCTGTAGATGTTTATTACGTAATAAGGTATCCAATTGACGAACACCTAACTCCAGTTTGTTCTGTCTTCTTGAGCTATTCTTATTAACTTTGTAATTGTCAAATCCTAACGTTTATCATTGTGTCCAAACATCCTCGACATTTGACCTTAGTCTCAGCCAGCTGAATATAGTTTACATCTTCAAATCATATTTACGAAGATCCATTTCAATATTGTCTCTCCATCCATCATCCCGTCACAAGTTTGACCAAAATTCTACGACTATATGAATATTTCAAAACCTTCCATCCGTGTTACATCCCAACATGCTTAATGTCGTAGTCCTGACTACACAATGTGAGGAAAATGAATTATGAAGTCACATTATATAATCTTTCCAGTCCTCTATCGCTTCATTTGTGTTAGGCCTTAAAGTCTTTCTCAGCATATCAGCATAAAAACTGCTCATTAAACAATTTAAATCACAACATATACAATGAATTAATTTCAATGTTTACATTTCCTTTTGTTGTTTTCCAGTGTTATTGGGTGTGTTTACTAACTGCCTTCGGTGAAATAGTAAGTTAAATTTTCATTTTACAAATACGTAATATTTACAATGATATGAAGTGTTTATAAAACCCGCTGTTCACTCAACACACGATCACGTTGCTGTTAGCTGTTATGTCATTTTGACTGCTAATCAAAGGTAAGAGCCACATATAAATTTCCATTGTGCTTCAAATTGTAGGCCTATATCCAGGCACATTTGCCTCCACAACCAAAAAGGGGCATCTCTAAGTTCTGACTGTTCAAATTTTCTTCAACTAAGTTTTGCTTCATATACGTAAAAACTTTAATTATAGAACAAAGCCTAATACAGTACTTCCCATGTTAATGCTTTCAATTTTCAGATTTCGGTATTAGACAGTTGGGACTTTTCCTAAAGTATTCATTTAAGTTTCCAATAATGTTTTTAAATGCAGGGGAATGATGTATTCGAAATTTTTCATTTTTAATGTGTTAAAATTAATGTTATTCAATGTATTACACGATACCGTGTTCGCAGAATGCTGACGGTTCACTCAACGAGGAAAATGCAGTTAAAGAATTTAAGGACTTGATCGCCCATCACAAGATCCAGTACTCCGACGAAGAACTCAAGTCGGACGTTGCGGATTGTGCGAAAATAAGTATGTGTGGGGATCTTGGTAACTAGTCAGTTCAGTAAATAATCACAATTTAAAAGTAATGGGAACTCAGCAGTTGCCGTATGTACTATTAACTGACAGTGCATGAAAAACCACAGTCCTACCTAATTTATCAGAATAATCATCAATTCCATCTCATATTAGAAACACTGATGAAGATGACAGTTCTAAGTAATAATATTTCATTTGGTACGTACTGATGCCGATCGAGGTATAGACTAAATGATGAAATTCTATCTTTGGATAATTAGCATGGAGCAAATTATTTTCTTGCTTCAAAATCATACAGAAATCAGACTTTCGTTTCCTGATATTCATCCTGCCTGATATACCTTTTGGAAAAAAAAATATAAATTACACAATGTATTAAAGAATATTGCCTACAGCATTCAGTTTTCCACACGTAATCTGACAGGTGGCTTAGGCACAAATACAGCCCATTTATTCAATAAATAATGCTAAAGCAGCTGCATATATTGAACTGTGTATATCCTCTTTGGATGGACTACTAGATTTACTTACATTTTCAGTGCGCATACAAAATTCTTAGAAAATGTGTCCTTCGAGATGTAGTTTTTCACGTTGACAATTTATGAAAATCCATGTAGCATTTTAATCGTCATAAAATTCATCTTTATTTTATAACACTGTGTTATAGCAACGTTTTTTTCCAGGAGGCGACAGTACGTGTGATAAAGCATTTGCACCATGGAAATGTTTAATGGATATTGGAAAACGACTCTATCGCAAAATTATGGTAAGAGTAATGACTTACTGTACATACGTAAAGTGAAGAATGTCTGAAACCTAATTTTTTAGGCGACTATAAGATGTGAAGCGTTAAAAAAAATACATGTTTTTAGCAATACCTTATTTTATGGACGTGAAATACTCCCAGTGTTCGAAATATTTCCGAACATAAACGTAAGGACAGATGAAGTGTTCCCTACAGGAATATAACAGGAACTCCATCTACATGTAATGCACATGAATTTGCGTTAATATAAACAATAGTAAAGGATTTAAATACCATAAAGTATAATGCAGAAAGACTTCTAGATACCAGAAATATAAATATAACTAAATATAAGAACAAGATAATAAACCAAAATCAATAACAGAATAATAATAATGATAATAAACAAATAAAACATCGTTTTAAGAATGTTTTACGGTTTAAATATTAGAAAATAACACAAATAAGAACGAAATTCTCGAAATTCTCAATCTTAAATTCAGAAAATGTTTTAATTTCGCCTACTTTTTTAAAATCTGAAAATCAGCACTTTCAAAATAATAATAATATTGCTACTTGATGGATGTGAAACATGATATTTTGCTTCAAGAAAAGGGTAATATTTATAATCTCTGAAAACAAACTGCTCAAAAGTATATCTGGCTCTAATAAGAAAAATTTTAGGATAGACGTTACATAACAAGGAATACCGTTATTTGTAA